ACGAAGTGCAGCCCGCAACAATTGATCCTCCGGTGATCATATGTATGGTTCCCCGAACTGGCCTCTCTTCGGGAGGTGGCCTCTACGGCTGCTCGCCTTTCCTGCTGCTAGATTCGGGGGCGTCCCTGCCTTGCTCGCCCTGCCGACCTGCTTTATTATCATTCTGTACAAAATTTCTTAAATATCCRCGACAAATGAACTCTTCTATCTTGTCGCAGAGGTTCTTACAACTTTCGGTACTATGACTGTGATTTTTATGAAAATTACAATACAATTTTTTATTTCTAACACTCAGRTCTCCTCTCAACCGAGGTGGCCACTTCATGTACGGGGCGTCCTTGATCGCCATGAGAATCTTGGCTCGCTTTGCATTTAGAGGTGTGTAGTCAATCCTTTCTGCTGGAGGAACTCGGAAAGGCTAACCTGGCCTTCCTCCCCGAGCTGAGTCTTTCTTCTTTTTGTTGTTCCCATGGGTCGAGGACTCAGTTTCTCTTTTCCTCATTCAGGCAAACTTTCGTTCTTCTGGTTAATCTCCTCCTCCGTCCCTATGAACTGGTCCACGAGTTTGAGGAACTCGGTTACAGTCTTAGGCCAGTTGACAACTACATGCCACTTAAACTCCTTGTGTGTTATGCCTCTCTTGGCTGCTGTGAGGCGCACTGCGGAGTCTAAGTCAGGTATCTATAGACAAGCATCATTAAACCGCTTGATGTAGTTGCGGATAGACTCCCTTTCCCTCTGGACTATGCCGAGGAGACTTTCTTGGGTTCTAGGGCATCTTTTGCTGGTGACGTAGTGGGAGGTAAAGACCTGCACGAACTGCGCCCAACTTTTTATTGTCCCGGGCGAGAGATTCCTGTACCACGTGCGGGCTACTCCTTTGAAAGTGGTAAAGAAGGCCACGCACATGCAGGACTTGCTTGCCCTTGCCAGGTGTATCTGCGACTGGAAGGCATCCACGTGATCATTCGGGTCAAACAATCCGTCATACTTGTCAAGGGGAGGTAATTTGAAGTCCTTGGGCATTGGGACGGCCAAGAGTTCAGGAGACAGAGGGGATGGTATAGAGAGGAGCAGAGTGGTTTTCACTTCGTCCRAGCTTACCTCTTCTTTCTTTTTGAGTTCAGGCAAGTGGTGTGTCGCAGTTTGGTGGGCTCGGCGATGTCTCATCTGCTTCTTCGCAGGCTTTGCATTGGTGCTGCTCGCTTCTGTGTTGTCAAGAACGGTTCTTGCAGGGAGTAGCTCGGACTGTTGATGACGAATGTGGATCGGTCCTTGCCTGGAGTCTGCGGCCAGGACTTCGAATCGTTTATCAAGGAGCAGGGCCACGAACTCGGAGACATGAGGTGGCGTGGGTCTGGGAGGCAAAGAGTTCCCCGACCTGACCGCGCGCGGAGAGCTGAGTGTGACTGGATTCTCCCTCCTACCGCGAGATGAGACTTGGCTCCTGGGAGGTCTCTCCCCGGCGAGAGTGGCGTTCATTCCGGCGACGAGGCTTAGTCTGCTGCGGGGCGGGGTGCCATGGTGGATTCGGCGACTGGTTCAGAGGCAACAGGGAGAACTGTTGCTGGTATACATGGTGTAGAGCTTGCTACTGGTACAGCTGAAGTTGTTGGACTTGCTGCACTTGAGCTTGTATGGCTCGCATGCAATGCATTAGATCTTCGAGCTGGTTTGGTCTAGTTAGTGGGGGAAGAGAAGGCTCAGTGAAAGTGGTGCCTACTGCAGAGGGGAGCGGAGCGCTCACCGGTGCCGCGATCTGAGGCACATTCAACGTCGGGACCCCATCTGTAGAGAGAGGAAGGGTGAATTGTCCAACGCACACTGTAGGGAGTTGAGGTTCAGGGGAAGTGTTCGCGCCTGAGTTGCATCCGGCGTTGCTGGAGGAAGCCATGGATACTGAGGTTGCAAAACTTAGTGGAAGAAGGCTTTTCGAAGCAATTCCCACAGACGGCGCCAAATGATGGTGCGCGATCTGGTCACTCCTAGCTAGCAGGGGCTATGCTCCTAGCTGGCGCTGGACGAGGTATCTGCAAAGAAGAAGGTGAAGGATTCCTGGGGAGCTCACCCGGCGAGAACACTCCGATGCTTAAGTTAGAACTCGGCGGAGAACTGAGAGAGTTGCGAAGAAATAAAGGCTAAGTGTGAAGATGCGCAATTTTCGATTACCTTTTTCCTTGGGGGTTGGAGCCCTTATATATTAATGCCCTATCAAATCGGGTGTAACCGCCTCTGAATCTCTGCCGTAGCCGTTATTTGCCAGGCTGAGCAGGTGGGCGCAGGTAACCATCACAGGGTACGACCCTATTAGTCGAGAGACGTATTTTCGGAGCAGGCAAGCACGCTGCCGCCTGATGAGAGATGTGGGCGCAATTCTCTGGATTGGCAGGTGCTGCACCGTCAGACAAGGGACGTGGGAGCATTATGATGGGCACGGTCTTGTCAGATAAGAAGCTTCTCGAAACCCTCGGATTGCTCAATAGCGAGCTGCCTCGTAGCAAGCTGCCTGGTAGCGAGCCACCTTGTAGCAAGTCGCCTTATAGCGAGCCACCTTGTAGCGAGCTGCCTTGCAGCGAGTTGTTAGGTTGGGTTTTAGCGAGCTCGTTACACCGAGTTGTAGCTAGGCTATCATGCTGAGYTGTCACTTACGTTGAGTCATGTCCACGTGTTGCCTAGTCAAGAGGTCARGTCAAATCACCCTCCATCACCATATACACATATAATTTTTTGCTAATATATATATAGTAATAGAGTTTGCACAAACAACAATTATTTAAACCAATCAAAGTTTAACAACTATAAACAACAATAAATTTAATCCAATCATAATATATTAAAAACAATGAAACTAATATAATTTGATTGCACAAATAAGCAAAATATATTTTTTCAGCTCTAATGTCAACACAACCTTTAATTTAATTATCGATTTGCTTATTTTTTTCTATTATCTATCATATTACTATTGGTTAATTTTTTTGTTATTATATTTATTTTTTATTATAATCTTTTTACATGAATATATATTTATATTATATTTTATACTAATAATTTTCCATTATTTTTTATTGTTTACAATAATATATATGCATATTATATGTATGAATGCATACATAATTTTTTTGCTATCATATATCAATATATATATATATACTTTTTATTATTATTTTCTATTTTTAAATATATTTTTTTATTTGTTTTATTATTTTCTGTTATTTTTAGAATGTATATATATAGTATATTATATTGCTATAATATATCATATTAATTACTATTTTTTAATGATTTTTATTATTTTATTTGTTTTTCTTGTATATATTTTTCATTTATATATTTATATTATAGTATATTTCATAATAATAATTTTGTACGATTTTTTTATTTTTTGATATGTATACATGTATAACATATCATATATATACTACAAATCTAACATATGTATACATAATAATATCTAATTTTTTATTTTTAATAGTATTTTTCATAATAATAATTTTCTTTTATATGTTTTTCTATCATATGTATACATATATATATATATACTATTTAATATATATATATATACCACTTTTTTAATAATTTCTAATTATTTCTTGTTATTTTTTAACATGCAATCTATTTTTATTATTTTAATTTTTAATATTATTTATTGTTTTTTACAATAAATACACACACTATTTTACTTTTTACTTTTTATGTACATTTTCTTATATTTTTATACTATTTATTCTTTGATATCATATATCATATTACCATTTTTAATATTTCTTATTATTAGTTCCATTACCATTTACACATATAATTTTTTTGCTAATATATATAGTAATAGAATTTGCACAAATAACAATTATTTAAACCAATCAAAATTTATCAAATATAAACCACAATAAATTTAATCCAATCATAGTATAATTAAAAATAATGAAACTAATATAATTTGATTGCACAAATAACTCAAAATATATTTTTCAGCTCTAATGTCAATACAAGCTTTAATTTAATTAGTCATTTGCTTACTTTTTCTGTTATCTATCATATTACTACTTTTTAATATTTTTTGTTATTTTATTTATTTTTTCTTATTATCTTTTTACTTGAATATATATAATATTATACTTTATACTAATAATTTTCTATTATTTTATATATATACACACTTTATTATTATTTTCTATTTTTAAATACTTTTATTGTTTTATTATTTTCTGTTATTTTTACAATATACATATTTATATAAATATATTTTTATATTTATATTTATAATATATTATATATAATTTAATATTGCTATCATATATCAAATTACCAATTTTTTAATGATTTTTTAGTTTTTATTTGTTTTTATATTATATGTTTTTTATTTATATATTTTATATTATAGTATTTTTTATGACAATTGAAATATATATATATATATATATGTATATGTATATAAGTACCACTTTTTAATAATTCTTTTATTATTTGTTGTTATTTTTTACAATACGATGTACATATACCAAATTTTTATTATTTTAATTGTTTATTATTTTTATTATTTTTTTATTTTCTATATATTTATCTATATTATAGTATTTTTAATAATAATTTTCTATTAATTTTTTCATTTTTTAATAATATTTTTATTTGCTGTTTTTTTTTATAATTTATTATTCTACATATATCTACAATATTTTTCTATAATCTACATATATATACTATTTCAATTGTTTTTTATTATTTTCGTTTTTTACTTTTTTTCTCTCTTTTTATTATAGTATAATAAATCCCGGTCCAACCTGAGTGGACCAAACAAACCATATTGAGAGGTCATCTTCAACCTCTTGACTGTGAAAAAACATAGATGAACCTCTGCAGTGAAAAAACAAAGATCCAAGCGGTACATGACGCCGGTACATAGATCCGGCAACGTTTATTGTCCTAACCGGAAGTTACGACTCCGGCATTGATCCGGCCGGCCATTTGAGACAAATWGTGTAAAAAGAGAAAAACTTACGTACCTTTTCAAAATCACTCCGAGTAACCGGACGGCGATTAATGGCCAAGATTCCTCTGGTAGCGACCTCCAACCTCTCCTTCGATGTAGCAGCAGCGTTTTCTTCTCTGGTCAATCAGCACGAATAGCACCAAAAGAGCTTCTCTAATGGCGAAAGATGGGTCCAACGTTCATCCACTTTTAAAGTTAAAAGGGCAAAATCGTCAAAGGGTCAGCGAATAACCGTACAAACTGTACACAGTATTTAATGCCCTGTAACTTTCAACGATAAGTGTTATCGAAGGGGCCTTTAATCGCTGAACGCGTACGATGAGTGATAAGAGGTAAGCGTTCAGCGTTATCGAATTATGATATAATAAACTAAACATAACCCCAAAAAAATACTTGAATTAAAATTAGATGGACAACATTTAATTGAAAATATCATAGAGCTATATCTTCAATTTTGTTAATAATTAAATTCCCTGAACATGTCTTGACTGGTAGGGCGGTTCATGGGTCAGGTTGGGTTGGTTTACTGATGTTTTTTTAATCATTCTTGTTTTTTTAATCAATCTGACTTGGTTGAGTTACTTGAAATTGAAACTGAAACCGATTCTGTGTTAAGCAAAACCGACCTGATCGATTTGGGTCGGTTTGGATCGCTTTCGGCTCTACGTAGTGGTGACTCAGTTGCTGTTCATTTATGGCTCTACATTCCCAAAGGAAAYCGGCATTTTCTTAATGTTTTGTGGCCCATCTATGGATCCAGATTTTGTTGAGGGAGCAGAGTTTGAAAGTACTATTTGTTAGAGTAAGATTTCAATCTGCAGGAAACTATATAATGGATGGATCAAACTATCAAAGCCGGTCAGATCCAACAAAAGCTAAGAAGATGCTCTCTGCTACTTAGATAAGTAGTGGGTGAAATACTGAAATTTAAGGCAAACATTTATTCATGTACTATTTTTTTTTTATTCACTGATGGAGTGATGGGTCTTGGGTCATCTTTATTGTTTACAACATACCTCCTGATGAACTCGGTAGTGAAGAACTAAGTAGGTTGTAACTACTAACTAGGAACTAACTAATAAGTTGGTTCAACTTTGGTTTTCACACATGAAAACCGAAATCAAATCGAATCATCGGTTTATTATTTTTTATAACCCGAAACCGACCGATGCTGAAGAAAACCCAGCCGACTTGGGCTGGGTCGGACCGARTTAGTCGGTTTGGTCAGGTTGGGTGTTCTTATGAACAGCCCTATCGATCGGTTTTGACAAAAAACCCAACCCGAGCCTACCCAAGTTGCACACTTGCACCCTTCCACTTATACGGATGCGAAAGGCGAAGACAGTTTGATTCAATAGAAATTTGCCACGTGGAATTTGTAAATGCAAAAAATAATAACCAGAATTTATATATATATATATTTTTAAAAAAGGGTAAAAGCAAAATAATAAAATTTTGTCTTGAATTAATTAAAATATATATATATATATATATATATATGTAAATAAAACGAGCGACTAGAAGTAGAAGAGTCAGTTGCTTCCAATTTGATTAGCAAAAATTGCGCCAAAAGCAGTGCCAAAGTTAGCAGAGAAGCTCTCCGTGGCGTAGGCTGGAGCTATAGAGTTCGAAGACTTGGTTAGTAGCCACGAATCTCCGACAAATTGGCGGGGTTTTGCAGAGAAGAACCAAAACAAAAGACCGACCGAAATCGAAGGAACCGAATTTCCAGGCCATTTCAAGAATGTTGTCATCTCCACAGACCCAACGACACGAAGACAGGAGAGGAAACGGAAGAAGAAATACGAACCTGCATCAATTCCACGCGAACTTTTGGTTCATCAGTACCCTTGTCTCAATTTCCTTTCCACTCGTTTCTTCTCGTTACCTTACCGGGTTTCTGAAATCTCGTCGGAAATGGCGTTGTCCGGACTGTTTTCTAGTGGAAATTGATGCATTATCTAGTTTGGGTTTTCTAGTGGATTTGATTATGTGCTGATGGAGGATGGGATTTCAAATTGTCATCTGATCGAAAAAATGGCGGTTAGGCAGATCATTCATGGAAGAATTTTGAAGAGTATCCAATTGTGTCGGAAGAGTTGAATGTGGAGTATCTAGCTTCAAATTGCTTGATTTTGGAAGAACTTTGAGTGCTTAGATATCTGAACCCTTCCATTTAACTCTGCAACAAAGAAATTTTAAGTAGCCGAGGCCTTCACTGAAGCAGCTTAGAATGGTACGTGGAACAAACTTTGGACATGAATTTAGTTCCAATCCTGTTAGTGTCTCAGACACTTTATCTTAATCACATTCCTTTTACATCATGAGTCGAAATTATTTGCCAATGTGACGAATTTATTTGTATAAGTTCGTTAATTTTTCATTTTTTATTGCTCAATGGACAAAGTAGGAGCACTGCTAGATGACTAATAGAAGAAAAGAAAGGAAGCAGTTCTCTATTAGTTGAAAGACTGCAGCTGCCTGCAAATTGTCTTCATGAAACAATTATGTTGGTGTGTCAGTATATGTTTTATTTTTTAGAGCTACAAATAAAATTTACTAATTACATGTAAAACTTTTGGATGTTGGGATTTAACATGTAACATAAACTTAGATATTTATAGGATGAATTGGGCGTTAATTAAATACTGGAATGAGTGTTTTTTGATGAAAAGCTAGACTACCACCTTGAATAGAGAATTCATAAACATCAGACTGAATTATTGTTCAATTTTCTTTCTTATATTTATTTTTTATTTTATTTTCAGAAAGTAAGATTGAAAAGTAAAAGTAAAATAATAAATGTTTATGTAGTAAGCACTTTAACATTGTATTTTCCAGTCACAGTTCTATTTAAGTTTAGGATACTGTTGAATGTTAGAAGAAGTTTAAGAAAGAACCAACTTTACATGAATCAGGTTCAATTTCACCCATAAGAGAGACTTGATATCGGTATTGCACCATGAATTCTTAAATATCAGTTTAAGAATACTTGTTTTGTTTGTCTAGTGCTGCTGGCAGATAGTAGTAAGTAGTAACAATATCTTGAAAGAAATTAAAATGCTACAGCTGGCTAATATTCGTTTCTTTTCACGAGAAATAGTTAAACCCTTTGTGCATACAGTCTTGATCTGTGACTRCATGTAAATTGCTGAATTTGCTTTGGTATTAAGGTTCAAAGTATTGACACGTATCGGCTGATACATATTGTTCCAGAACCCCTCCGATATGCCCCTACAGTGGGTGTATCGGGGGTCTGACTGGTTCAGGGGGTGGAGGAGCCCTAAACCGCCCCCCCTGAACCAGTTGCGAAAAAAAGAAATAAAAAAAACCAATAAAATGCAGTATCGATTCGCCCGATATGCCCCTACCAACGTATCAGGCGTATCGATATTTTGAACCTTGTTTGGTATACATGCAAAATTCAAGCACAAAGTTGAAAAACAAATCGAAATGGAAACAGTGTTGCTAGATATTAGAGTAGTGGAAATACTTAAAGACAAGAATTTCACAGGTGAATAAACCAGTAACAGAAGAAAGACAAATAGTGGTTGACTATCCAGAGTCCTGACAGTTCAACAAAGCAGAGAGAAACTTGGGTGGAGAGAAAGTGAATTTGTGAATATTGGTAGTATTATTTTAGAATCCAGTTATAGGAAACACTGAAGGATGAGAATTGGGCGATTATTGTATCCAATTTTATAAATCACATGCTAGTAAATTATACATGATGAGTTAGATAATTCTTAGCCACTTAGTTTTATTGCTCAGATGGGAATCAAAATTGTGATGTTCGTTTTGAACTTTCATGAACAATTAAACTTTCTATATTTGCACATATGCTTGTATGTGTAGTGAAAATTTCTGTGCATATTAATTTTGTATTCAGTTTGTGCAAGCTCAAGCATTGAAATACATACAAACATATTAACTTTATTTATTTTTTTTTAATTCTATGCCAATATGCCTGCTTGTGTTCTAAAATCTATCCATAAAATCATACTTGCTGCAGGGAACATCCGTTAATATCATTGTAGGCTCTCATGTATGGGTTGAAGACCCAGCAGTAGCTTGGATCGATGGAGAAGTCTTAAAAATTAGTGGTGTGGATGCTGAGGTCAGGACAAGTAATGGGAAGATGGTAAGTATGCTGTTAATGACATCAAATTAACATCCCCTTGTATACTTTGCATGGAAAATAAAGATCCCGTCGTCTTGCAACATCTCAGTGTACCATGCTCACATACACTGATGCTAAGACTAGATACTGCATGGATAATTCAAATGTCAAAGTGTATTACTTTCAGAATTATTCTCCTTGCTCTTGGTGGTTCGCATATTCTTTTGTAAAACAAACATATATGGTATGTGGACTTTGCTGTGAAAACGTTTTGTAAATTTTAAGAATGTCATTGAATTTGATGGGATATGGATAAGTACAGAATGTAGTTAAAACAGAAATTGAAAGTAAAAGCATCATATTAGCATGCCAAATAAAATATTTGTATTCGCATCTATGTCCTGGATATTGCAAAATGAAGATTTTTACATATATGCTTTCCTGTATTAGTGTCAATTTTGGTATAAATATTTGGGCATTCTAGATATCAAATAGCACCATTGGTATTTAACCTCATGTTCAGAAGCAATTAGTAGCACTTACTAGGACCAATGGAATTGAATTTAAAGATTGTATGGATGAGTTTTATGATACCTAAATGCCTGTACATGGGTGCCATGTTGTCTTGGACACTTATTTTAATGTAAAATCTGCATCTGACTGTTAACCTACAATGCTGAGATCCATAAACCAGAAAAATAACAAAATAAAGAATAAGAAGAGGAACAAGATTTAAATGGTTAGCTCAGTATGCACACAATGGGAGGAAAGTAAAAAACATCCACTTTGAGAGAAAGAAATAGACACAGCAACCTCCACATTCTCTCAATCAAACACCCACTATTTGACACCTTCTCATTGTCTTAAACAAGGGTTTTATAAGCCAAAACCTAAACTTTACCCATAATTACATGAAAATTCCATTCCCTCCCATAATTACACAAAGACCCCCATAAAACTAATAATATTACAATAGAGTCCCTTTCCACCAACATGAACTCCTTGTCCACTTGTGGTCTAACTGGGTATGATCAGATGAGTTACATCAAGTTTAGAATGGGCATGCAAATGCTTGTAATCAGTATTACATGGACATAGACATAACAATTGGAATCTGATGTATGTCTGGAGTTTGACTTGACAAGATGAAGAAACAATGACTCTTGGGCACGTCTATAGAAAAGTATAAACTATTGAAATAGTCCATCTTTTATGGAACCTTATCTTTATAAACCTATAGGAAAAGGTTTAAAAGATTATGTTTGTTTAGTTAATAACATTTTATAGAAAAAAAGACAATCATCATGTACATTAGCTGTTCATTTATGTTGGATAAACAACAAGAATAAGAAAAAAATGTCACAGAGAAATTTCCTTCAAGAATCCATGGAGTGTTGGAGTCTGATGCATATTGACTTGAGCACTTCATCCATATAGAAGAGTCCATGCAACACTGCTTGTAATCTATACTGAGTTTTATTTTGTGGCTAAAGAGGTATTTTCATACTTAGAAAGCCTTAACTTTAGGTAGTCCTACTTTGTAAGTCATATGCTAGCCCTTCTTAATTGTTCCTCAAGTATATCTGGCAATGCCTGCTATGTTACATGGACACTTCAAAATGGGGCACCGTACTTGTACTGTACACTTGTGAACAACATTGTTTATATCATATCTATCATACCATAGCATATCATATTGTATTATATCATACCATATCATATTATATCCTGGGAGAAAGTCCACTGTTCAGGTCATTTAGCAAGCTTCCCTAAACAGCCTATAAATATTTTATGTGGAAAATTAGTTTGGAGCTAAAAAGGAGTGACCAAATCCTTTTCCTACCCTTTATTTATGGCAATATTTCAGCCCAAAAGGCCTTACCAAGTGAGCAAAATTAGCTCTCTTTTAGGGGTAAGTATAGCTTGAACAAATTAAAACTTGGAAAAGCTAATGTTAGTTGTGAAAACCAACAATACAAGGTCAGATACATAGCTTATATGGACTTTGTTGAACAAGTGGCCAATCCAGTAGGTCCCCTATCAGGTGGATGGTTTGGATTGGCCACATGATCCTTCCTTGTGGCAGAAATGGGTGGGTTCGTGTAAGGAAGTTCCCAACTGGACCCAATAAAACCTTTTTCTTTATATTATTTTTTGTCAAATCATATCATAATTTAACATTCAAACTCATATACATTGAGAAGAAAGTAATAAATGTCAAATGACATGAAATTTACAAATTACAGTTCTGAAATATTAAATCATGGTTATTTACTATTATCATAGTTGGGATAAGGCATGGAGGATGATGATAGTTGCAGCATCATGGCACTAATTTAACTTTGATATTGTTCAGGTTGTTGCAAACTTATCAAAAATATATCCAAAGGATATGGAAGCTCCTGCTGGTGGAGTTGATGACATGACAAAACTATCGTATTTGCATGAGCCTGGAGTTCTGCAGAACTTGTCAACTAGATATGAACTCAATGAAATCTATGTGCTCTCTCTCTCCCTCACACACACACACACACATACATATTATCATTCTAAGCTAGTGTCCACTCAGATATAATCCTAATATTTTATATCATGGCAGACTTATACTGGAAATATTCTTATTGCCATTAATCCATTCCAACGATTGCCTCATATTTATGATGCTCACATGATGGAGCAATATAAAGGAGCACCATTTGGGGAACTAAGCCCTCATGTCTTCGCCGTTGCGGATGTCGCGTATAGGTGAATTATATTCTTACATTATAGGGTTAATGTTAAATTCATAAAAGGTTATGTAGATAACTTTCAGAACTGTTCTAATTGGAAACAGGGCAATGATCAATGAGGGGAAAAGTAACTCCATTCTGGTTAGCGGTGAAAGTGGAGCTGGCAAAACTGAGACCACAAAAATGCTTATGCGCTACCTTGCCTATTTAGGTGGCCGTGCTGGAACAGAAGGAAGAACTGTTGAACAACAAGTTTTAGAAGTAAGATGATTAATTCTAACCAGACTACAATGAACTATGTTTGATTGATATAATTTTGTATCAAAATGTAATTATACCATCTGATGTGATTGCAGTCAAACCCAGTTCTTGAAGCGTTTGGTAATGCCAAAACTGTTAGGAACAACAACTCCAGGTGAGATAGTAACTGTGTTAGGAGATAACCTATTATAGTTATTGTTGGCCATATTTGGTTCTTTGAAATTTGAATTTTGAAGTTTAAGTAATAGGTGTCAGTCACTGCCTTTTGTATGAGTCTGTGCAAGAAAGATAAAAACAATCAGGGATCCTTCCAGACACAGCCTTTTGAGCAGTTTAATAGTGATCACATTATATTTTTCTCATAGTCATAGATGCTAAGTTACTAACAGGACTGCAATATCATTGTCTAAAAAAGGTTTAATAGAAAACATTGTAGTGGCACTTCTTTCCTAGTTCTTCTTTTTAATTTATGAAATCGTGATTTTAATGCTACATACTACCTCTAATTCACTGTACACATTAAAACAACACAATCCCTGGAATTTGTTCATTTTCCACCTATGCTTATATATTGAATGTACTGGTCCAGCCGATTTGGTAAATTTGTTGAGTTACAATTTGATAAGCATGGAAGGATATCAGGAGCAGCTGTCAGAACATACCTTCTTGAGAGATCCCGTGTTTGCCAGATTTCTGACCCTGAGCGTAACTACCACTGTTTTTATCTTCTTTGTGCAGCACCACAGGAGGTATATTCCTGTTGGCATTTCACCTGTTAAATTCATATTCCATTTTCTCGGTGTCCTTGGTTTGGACTGCAATTTTGGTTAACTACCTTTCAAATATCATCAGGTTACTGAGAAATATAAATTAGGAAATCCTAAATCTTTCCACTACCTCAACCAATCAAATTGCTATGAACTTGTTGGTGTAAGTGATGCTCATGATTATCTAGCTACTCGGAGAGCTATGGATGTTGTTGGAATAAGTGAGAAAGATCAGGTATTAACTTTTCCTATGGAAATGTCTACATATTTCAACTGCTTATTTATAACTAAGAAGAGAAAAAATTATTTCTTTGCTCGTTCTCACTCTCTCTCTTTCAGGATGCAATTTTTAAAGTTATTGCTGCAATTCTTCACCTTGGTAATATCGATTTTTCCAAGGGGAAGGAAGTTGATTCATCAGTTCTAAAAGATGATAAATCCAAGTTCCATCTCCAAATGACGGCAGAGCTTCTCATGTACAACTGGTGTCTCAAGATTCATCTTGTAGTTTTATGTGTTCCATCTAATGTTCTGGTCAACACTAAAATTTGATGTTCTCATTGTTCTAGGTGTGATAGTCATGCCTTGGAAGATGCACTATGTAAGCGTGTAATGGTAACGCCAGAAGAAGTAATTAAGAGAAGTCTTGATCCTCAAGCTGCAACTATCAGCAGGGATGGTTTGGCAAAGACAATATATTCCCGCTTGTTTGACTGGTATGCTTGCGTTCATCACTCATTTTATTTCTATTCCCATGAATAAATCAAAACTATATAGTGGCAGAAAGGATATTAACTCTGCATAATTATATACAGGTTAGTGGACAAAATTAATTTCGCAATTGGGCAAGATCCTAACTCCAAATCTCTGATTGGGGTGCTTGACATCTATGGTTTTGAAAGTTTTAAGACTAACAGGTAATGCAATAATATAGATATTTCATATATCAAAATTTTTCACCTTGTTTAGTTTCTATGAACTACCTCAATCCTTCATGCATTGCAGTTTTGAGCAGTTTTGTATTAATTTCACAAATGAGAAGCTGCAACAACATTTTAACCAGGTAATTAACAGATCATACCTGGTGATTTCATGTTTAGTTCAGTATTTCTTTTAACCTACCTGTGATGTCTTGCAGCATGTATTCAAGATGGAGCAGGAAGAATACACAAAAGAGCAAATTGAGTGGAGTTACATAGAATTCGTTGATAACCAAGATGTCTTGGATCTTATTGAAAAGGTTCATTTCTGTTCTTTCCTTTTCACATTGTGGCTTCTGTTTTGGCAGAAGAGAACCTTATGTACTAATGCTCCTAGTGTTGGTTAATATTATTATTGTAACATGGCTTATAGGTTTATTAGTATGAATCTCTCTCACACACAGTGTACATTTATGTGTGCATATGGCCATATTCCTCCACTTGTATGTATGCATATTAATTTTATTATTACTAATGTAGTTGACAGTAAGAAGGAACTAACTTTCCAGAAGAAATTTGTATGATCGTTTGGTTTAGGTTGACACCTTGGACTTCCAGAGCCATATTACTTTTGTATATATCTTCTTCTGTAGATGGTGTTTACCCAAAAAAGAACACATCATTTAAGGTTTCAGTAAATTTTAATGTAAAAATCAAGCTCAGTGTACAAAAAAAAATGTTAAACTATATTTTTATTGTATGCATTTAAACTAATAACCCTGAATGCTTGGGTTCAATAGACTATTACAAGTCTTCTCTGAGTTGATTTCCTGGAATTTTAAGTTGGCAAGCCATGGTCTAAATGTTATGTTACTGATTTTAGCTGAATACTTTCTTTTCCAGGTGGGATTAAATGTTTTAGTGTCCTGGATACTCTTTAAATTTTCATGTTCTCAATAAAAGGAAAATTGTTTCCTGGATTTGTTTGAATGTATATGATGGCTTCATTGTAATTGATCTGTGAATACTTCGTATCTCTAAAAATGCTTCTTTAAAATTTCTTTATTTTTCTAGTTTTACCATTCTAGGTGCAAGCATCTAAAGTTGAATGTTGCTTCCTGCACAACTCTTTTTATCATTTACTTATTTTGCAGAAACCAGGGGGAATCATTGCTCTCCTTGATGAAGCTTGGTATCTCTCTCTCTCTCTCTCTCTCTCTTCATGCTAGTAGATCTTGGTTGTCAATGGTTATTTTAGGAAACAGGCCTCATTAAAGTAGCAGGAAAATGCTAGGACTAAGCTTCTTTTTTCCAAATTGATTTTTTTTTATTCTCTTATTTATTGAACTTGTTCTATTTCCAGTATGTTTCCAAAGTCGACACATGAAACCTTTGCGCAGAAGCTCTATCAGACGTTCAAATCTCACAAACGTTTTATTAAACCAAAACTATCACGAACCGATTTTACAATTGCTCATTATGCGGGAGAGGTAAGTTTGATTTCTGGAGTTTCAAGTGTTTAATGTGAACTTCTGTTGCATTTAGATATAATCTCTCTGCATATTTCTTTTTCAGGTCTTATATCAATCTGATCAATTTCTAGACAAAAACAAGGATTATGTAGTTCCTGAGCATCAGGACTTGTTGAGTGCTTCCAAATGTTCATTTGTAGCAGGCCTATTCCCTCATCTTCCTGAGGAGACAAGCAAAACTTCTAAATTCTCCTCCATTGGATCTCGTTTTAAGGTATCTCTTCTTCTGTTGATTTGTTGACAATAAAATGGAATTTATTTATAGTAAATGCTGTTCCATGAGAATCATTAAAACATATAACCTGTTTGGCAGGTTCTACTTGACACATTAATTCCCTTTTTAGGGTAATAACCAATGTCTGATCTTTTATAATCTGATTGGTGCAGCTGCAACTACAGCAATTGATGGATACACTAAATTCAACAGAACCTCACTACATTAGATGTGTAAAGCCAAACAACCTTCTGAAACCTGCCATATTTGAGAATGTTAACATCTTACAACAATTACGCTGTGGTGTGAGTACAATTAAAATCAAGAATTTTCTGCAGCTGGTTTAAGTAAGCAAATGGTCAATTTTCATAAGTGATCTCAGTACATGTTTAATTGTCCTTATAGGGTGTTCTAGAGGCAATAAGAATCAGTTGTGCAGGGTACCCTACTCGTCGTACATTTTATGAATTTTTACACCGTTTTGGTATTCTTGCACCGGAGGCTTTGGAAGGGAAGTAAGCACATGCCTCTAACTTTCTTTTTCTTTGTTAGATGTTGCCACTTCCAATTTCAGCATGAACATTGTTAGGTTTTGACTCTTGGTCAATATGAAGATGATTCTTATGTAAGTCATGCATAGATATCTTCTGGTTAAATACTTTTTGTTTCTGAACAGCTATGATGAAAAGGTTGCATGCAAAAGGATTCTGGAAAAGAAAGGACTCAAAGGATATCAGGTAGGACTTTTGTACTACTTGAGGAAATTTCAATGACCAAGTCTTAGGAGCAATCACAACATTTTGAAAATTACTCAAACCTACCTTCCCAAAAAATGAATGATTCATGTGCTACAAAATTAGATGTTACTAGAATTCAACCATATATTTCTAGCATTGTGTGTGGTGCACTCAATGCTCTAATACAAAATCCGACCTAGTTGTCTATTGTACCCATCACTACTGAAAACTAGTATCACAATTCACATACTTTATCCTTCTTTATTTACTTTCTTCAATGAATGTTAAGTTGTATCTTCTGAACATAACAAACTTAAAGGGTAACCAAACGTCTGCAGATAGGCAAAACCAAGGTCTTCCTCAGAGCTGGCCAGATGGCCGAGTTAGATACACGTAGAGCTGAGGTACTTAGCAATGCAGCCAAAACTATTCAGCGACAAATACGAACACATATTTCTCGGAAACGGTTTATTGCATTGAGGAAGGCTTCTATTCATTTGCAGTCTTTTTGCAGAGGTGAGTTCCTCCAAAAGAAAACTTCTGAAAGATATATTGGCACTCTTGTTGGATTTTCTGACTGCTCTACTTTTTAGAAGGATGATTAGTTTTTTTCTTCTTAGCTCAATCTTGTCAATTTTTTGGTGGCGTAGACCTTTAAGTCTTCTGTTGACTGTTCAGTTGGAAATGACTTCTTGTTTCTCTTTTAAATTTTCACATGCTTTCAATATGACATGTAGGAAGACTGTCTTGCAAACTCTACGAGAGAATGAGAAGGGAGGCAGCTGCAGTGAAAATTCAAAAGCATTTGCGTAGACATCTAGCAAGGAAGGCTTACACCAAACTTCGTTTATCAGTGCTTGTCTTACAGACTGGTTTAAGGGCAATGGCTGCTCGTAATGAATTTAGATTCAGGAAGCAAACCAAAGCAGCAATTATTATTCAGGTTGTACTCTGATACTACATAATTTGGAAACTCCATATTGTTGTTTACTATGATGCAACTGACATGCATTTTTCTTGAAATAAAAATAGGCCCAGTGGCGCTGTCATAGATCTTATTCATACTATAAGAAGCTCAAGAGGGCATCAGTTGTTTCTCAGTGCAGATGGAGAGGAAGAATTGCCAGGAGAGAGCTTAGAAAGCTCAAAATGGTAAGTGTATAAACCATATTCTTTATTCCTCGATATAATCAATATTCTATATACTGTGACATAAACCATATTCTATTCTATGTTAGGGTAGTTGTAATATGCAACCCTACCAATCACATGAAATTGGTGTGATCTTGTAGTTATGTGTCCATTTGTGACATGTTTTTTACTGTTAAGAACCCATTAGTTTGTAAGTCTTTTTATGTACATGTATGAACTATAAAGATGGGGTCACTTGTTTCCTATGTGGTTTCTATCTGCGAAACATGGAACATGTGCACCTGGACATGCTAAATGTATTCATTATTAACAGGATACAGTACCAATACTGACACTGGACAACAAAGGAGTACTTATAGGGTACACTGCTTCTCTTTTCAATTGTACTCTGTTATTCTCTTGAAAAAATAAAAAAAAAAGTTTTATCCAAACTCCTTACTATTTTGTCAACAAATAAATCTATTCAAATGTTATATTTTAACAATACCATGAGAAACCTTGCAAAGTTGCACTGAATTTGGTATGATATAAGTAAAGATTAATATGATATCAGTAACTAAAAGTAGAAGTATGGATTGTAAACTCATATTATATAGGAGTTTTGGATCTTGAGAAATGATGAGTAATATCCCTGTGCATCTGTATCTGTGCCCGAGCATCTTATCATGCAAATGTTTCTTAGCAAAGTATCATTTTTTTTTGGAGGGAAAAACACCTTTGCAAGGTAGCATATCAATCATTTGAACTTTAGGATTGAGCCCATCAGAATCATCTGATGTTAATAGAATAAGAGTGAGTTTCAAGTCCAGGTGTCATTGATAAAAATCAGAACAGACATTTAATTTTCATTTGAAAATAATGTGGAATTGAATTTCTGCTAGTTGTGTTTTGCATGCACTCATGTGCACAACCAACATGTAAATCGTCAAAACTTGCACTATGGTCTAGAATTATTTCTTCACAATTATATGATTGTATATTTGTATTATTGCTAGTGGACAGAATTTAACCCAAAAATCTCATCTGTTTGTAACAATGAGGTAAACAATACTTTAGGAAGTTCTCTTGCTAATGGAGTGAGGAACCTATGTCTTCTCTTGGTCAAATCAAGTGACAGGCAAAATATTGAGCTAAGCCTCAATAAATAGATGCCTAGATATGGATAACAACACAGAAAGGGATCAGGGAAACGTGGATACCACTATTTATTTCCTAAAACCCCAGACATGGATACGGGTATAAGTATCCTATATAATATGCTTACACCATGCTTTTGTATCTGTTTTTGAAGCTAAGTTTCATTTCTCAAGACTTTTTTTTTTGGCTCCATGGAGCTCCGCAACAGGGGGTAGCCCATAACCCCCCAACCCTGGTGAAGGTGGGGTTTGATCCCAAGTCTTTGCTACAACCAGCCAGAGACCTTATTACCAACTGAGCTAGTTGGCACCTTCCATTTCTAAGACTGTGTCTTGCCAAATTTAATTTAATTTCTAGCATATAAAGGTTTTTAATGGTATGTTTGTTAAAACATGCCATTTTACATATTTTAAGTGTCAATGCTAGAGTATTGCTAGAAGTGACCATGCAGTTTCCGGTGTCATATATCCAGTGATGGACCATTCTTCATGGATATACATATTTAGATTGACACTTGGAAGTTCATTTCATTTCCTGTTCCAGTTCAATCTCTGAAGTTTGCCAACATTTTTTTTCTGCAGGCTGCCAGAGAAACAGGTGCACTTAAAGAAGCAAAGGACAAGCTAGAAAAGCGAGTCGAAGAACTCACATGGCGTTTGCAGTTGGAAAAACGTCTAAGGGTAATATAGTTGTTGCATCTGGGCATTTGATTTGTGAGATACTGCTAAGATATGAAACATAACTTATTCCCTCAAAAGAGCAGTAAAATCTCCATACATGTGCTATAAGTGGTAGATTTGCAATCTATTTATCTTACTATAAAAATTATATGATTTCTTTGCCCTGTAACTATACTTCGATTAGAAGTCGCCACTACATTCAAATATCTTGATGCTTGATGTGTACCTCTTAAGAAGATTTTAAATTACATATGCAGACTGACTTGGAGGAAGCAAAAGCACAGGAGATAACAAAACTCCAGAATTCTGTGCAAGCTTTGCAGAACAAACTTGATGAAACAAATGAATTGCTTGTCAAGGAACGAGAATCTGCACGTAAAACAATTGAAGAAGCACCTCCTGTTATTAAAGAGACCCAAGTTCTTGTCCAAGATACCGAAAAGATAGAATCTTTAACTGCGGAAGTGGAAAACTTGAAGGTAATTCTTTTTAGTTTTATTAGTGATATTTCACCTATACTCTTATCAATCAAAATTGAAAAGAAAAGGGTCCTGCACTCTTATTTCTGGGAGACCCATTGCTTGGAATATATTAGATATATTTCCAAATGTAGCAATGTCCTTTTCCACATGCATTTAAATATCAAGAATAATGACTATTGCTAACTAGAAGAACAAAAGTACTAAGAGAGAAAACTTTTGATAACATAAAAAATAACATTTAGTTTAGTTTAGTAAATTTGAAAATATTTTGTCCTAAACATAAAGGGCTGTTAGAGTATTCAATTTGTAATCAATGTGTTAAAATGCGGAGGCGTTCCACTACCTAGAGGCGTGAGGCGTAGTTCAGAACGCAGGAGGTGTAAGCCTCCTTAAGAGGAGGGGGGTTAGGAGGAGGATGAAGAGGAAGGGGGGATTTTATTTTTTCTTTATTTTTAATAAAAATCTTTTATATTAAGAAGAATAAAGATGCATAACATTAGTTGAAAGGGGGCGGGGGGGTCTGGGGGGCGAAGCCCCCTAGCCAAAGGGGTAGGGGGCAAACCACTTTCTCTCCCCTTATCTTTTCTTCCCTCCCATTCCTTTCCTTTTCTCTTTTTTTCTTCTCTTTCTTTTTCTTTCCCTTCCCTTTCTTTTCCTTTCCTTTCCTTTCCTTTTTTTTTCTTTTTCTTTTCTGTCTTTTTATATCAAATGTGCATGAGGCACATGAGGCGTATGCCTTTAGCACTGGCATACACCTCAGGGTGTTTTGAGAGAGAGAGAGAGAGAGAGAGAGAGAGAGAGGTTGGTGTGTAGGATTATTAGACTCATGACGTCCAGATGGTGTTAGAGCTACAACAAGATGGTGTTAGAGCTACAAGAAGATTCTAATGATGATGAAAGTGTTGATAATGATCAGATCTGTTGATCAACTCCAGACCTATATTCTTTTTTTGTTTATTCTTTCTTTTGCTGAAATACAATTATTAACAAAGAAGAAATAGAAGAACCGAGAGGGAAGAGGAGCGACAAGAGAGAAGAGAAGAGAAAGAGTTCGGGAGAAGAATATGTTCTGACAGCACTAGAATATGTTATTATATATAAGGCGTCACTTAAAAGTAAGGGCAAAGACCCTTATGCCCTTGTAACACTTACAACTTATAAACATAATAAAAAAAGACTAAGGGGCTGTTTGGTAAGTCTTTTTGGGAAGATCTTCTAATAGCTCCGCAGTCAAAAGACCCGCATTGAGCTTTTGCATGAAGATCTGAGCAGCTCAAAGCTAGTTTGGATACCATGTGTCTTTCTGTGTCTTTCCGTGCGAGAATAAAGTGAGAAAGACGTGAAAATCTCCATTTGGAGCTTCTCGAAATCAGCCCAAAATGGTCTTCTCGCGTCTTTTCGGCACACCAACTTTTGGCGGCTAGATCTGTTACGAACCAAATGAAAAAGACTACGGTGAGGTCTGCCCGGCTTGTAAATAGCTGAAAGACTGCGTGGAAAGACACGCCAAACGGGGCCTAAGTTTTCTAACAAAACAAAGAAGAAGTAAACTAGATAGAATAAAGAGACTAAATTGACTAAATTATTCCAACACTCCCCCTCAAGTTGGGACATAGATGTCTATCATGCCCAACTTGTCACAAAATCATTGTGCCACACGTGATGGAGACCCTTGGTGAAGTGAAAATGTCTGCAAGTTTTTCCCCTGAACTGACATAAGGAGTGCATACTTCTCCACTCACAAGTTTTTCCCTAATAAAATGCTTGTCCACTTCAATATCTTTTGTCCTATCATGGAGGACTGGATTGGCAGCAATGTTGATAGCACTTTATTGTCACAATAGAGTGGCATAGGGCTGTTAACTACAAAGCCCAATTCACCTAACAAGTACTTTATCCACATGATTTCAGCAACTTCATGGGACATAGCTTTGTATTCTGCTTCAGCATTGGACCTACCCACCACACTTTGTTTTTTACTTCTCCAGGTGACTAAGTTTCCTCCCACAAAGGTACAATACCCACTGGTAGATTTTTTGTCATTGACTGCCCTTGCCCAATCAGCATCTGTATACACTTCAACTTTCAAATGCCCATGTTTTTGAAATAACAAACCAGCCCCTTGGAACTTCTTGAGGTATTTGAGAATCATTTCTGCAGCTTCAAAGTGGGAAGTCTTGGGATTATGCATGAACTGACTAAGGACACCCACAACATAAGCAATGTCAGGTTTGGTCATAGACAAATATAAGAGTTTTCCTACAAGTCTCTGAAATTTCTTCACATCTTTCATAGCCTCAACTTGACTGTTACCCAGTTGATGATTTGGTTCAATGGGTGAATTAATTGGCTTCACTCCTAACTTTCATGTGTCTTCTAATAGATCTAGTACATATTTCCTTTGGGAAATAAAGATGCCGTTCAGAGAGCAGGTCACTTCAATCCCAAGAAAATAACGTAAGGGGCCTAGATCTTTCACTTTAAACTGAGTGGCTAAGAATTTCTTTGGGTTCTGTATTTCAGCCTTCCAATCTCCTATGACCACTATGCCATCAACATACACAATTAGAGCTGCAATTTTGCCTTCACCTTTCTTCACAAACAGAGTATGATTTGATTGGTATTGTTTAAACCCCATTTGTTGTACAACCAAGTGAAACTTACTAAACCAGGCCCGAGGTGATTGTTTCAATCCATATAATGATTTTTTAACCTGCACACCTTCTGCTCATTACCTTTAGCACAAAACCCCAAAGGCTGAGTCATGTACACCTCCTCCTCTAAGTCACCATTCAAGAATGCATTTTTAATGTCCAATTGATGCAGTTCCTAGTCAAAATTAGCTACTAGTGAAAGAAGGGTTCTAATAGAGTTCATCTTGGCTACTGGATCAAAAGTCTCTGCATAATCTACTCCATATACCTGTGTAAACCCTTTTTCCACCAATTTGACTTTGTACCTTTCTACCGTACCATCAACCTTATGCTTCACTACAAATACCCACTTGCATCCCACAGGTTCTTTTCCTTCAAGAAGATCCACCAACTCCTAAGTGTCATTTTTGTGCAAGGCATTAATTTCTTCCTTCATTGCATCTGTCCATTCAAGTATGGATAAAGCTTCTACCACACTCTTAGGAATAAAAATGCTATCAATGGAGGAAAGAAAAGCACGATATGAAGGTGAGATATGATCGTAAGACACAAAGTGAGAGATAGGATGGTTAGTAGTACAAGATCTAACACCCTTTCTCTTAGCAATAGGAACATCAAGACCATCAATAACAGGAGGATCGATATCAAGGGGTTCAGGATATAAGTGGGAACAAGTGTACCTAGTTGATGAGGATCTACCTTTAAAGAGTTTGACACGTCTGACATTGCAAATCATTCAATGACAAAGATTTAAATAACTCTAGAAACATAAACTTTAATGACTCAAAAGAAAGATGACCAAGACGACTATGCCATAAGTAGACATGACTTTCACTAGACGAACGCAAAGACTCTGTAGCCACAAGACCGGCTTTATTCTCCAACACATAGAGACCATCCACCATGCTTCCTCCAATCATCCTCCCCGAGGTCAAATCCTGAAACACACAAGAGGAAGGAAAAAAGGTTACAGAACAATTCAAGGAGTGAGTAATACTGCTAATGGAAAGCAAATTAATAGGAAATTTAGGAACATGCAACACATTAGAAAGAGTATGACCAAATAGAAGAGAGATGGTTCCTTGACTGGCTACAGTGGAGAATGACCCATCAACCAGTCTCACCTTATCTCTTCCCAAGAGAAGGTTATATGCCTGAAACAAATTTAACTTACTAGTTATATGTTTGGAAGCTCCAGAGTCAATTATCCAAGGAGATTCAAAGTTATGAGATGACACATGGAAGGCAGTAGTAGGGTTACCTGATGTGGATGCAAAGGAGGTAGGTGGAGTATGACTAGAATCCATTTGACGAAGTGTCCTACCATATAACTCCAAATGGTCACAAAAAGAGTTAATAATCTCTTCCTTGGGATCAGGACCAGAGTGATGTTCCTAAGGTACCATGGGACTAGTCTCCTGAGATGCCACATTTGCTGAGTTATGTTTTTTCTGATTCTGCTGAGTTGGCTTCTTACTCTGATCGGATGTTGTTTCTTACTTAATTCCTGAGCCCACTTAGGCTTCCCATGGAGGCCCCAACATGTGTCTCTAGTGTGTTTGGACTTCTGACAATGAGTGCACCAAAGCTTGTGTTTGTTATCCACCTTCTGCCAATCACCCTTCTTAGAAGAAAATCCCCCATTTCCACTTGTACTTCCTCGGGATGCTAATGCAACTAACTCCTCCTCTGCACCATTCATCACACTTCTCCTACTCTCTTCAGACTGAACTATGGCATAAACCTCTTGGACTGAAGGTAAGTCCTTACTTCCCAAGATTTGTACCTTGATAGACTCATATATAGGATTTAGCCCCAAAAGGAAAGCAAATACGCACTGTTGGGAGACAAGGGACTTGTAGGGCTTTTGCATCTTTGAAAGCTAAATTACTGTAGCCGAAGTAACAGAAAAGAGAAGAAGAAGAAGAAGAGATGCAGGAATGTCGAACTCACCTGCTCAGTCGACAGTACTATTATTTATATTATGATGTAGTACAATGATACAGGAAGTTATTAGAATGCCCCTGATTAGTGATGGGACACCCAGACAACTTAAAACATTAAACATTAG